CATAAATCAGTTAAATGACGAAAAATTAGGTGTCTATTTACTTGTGACCACTCAGTGTACGTGATACGTCTACAGTACTTGTGTCAAAACACAAAAACAATGTTATTGTTTCAGTACACGCAACTCACATCTTTCATTGACTTGTCACAAAATCTAGTCATAAAAAGATGACGTACCAAAACAACACTAAGGTTATCTTAATGAATGATTGACGAAATGAGTTTTATAATAAATAACAATAAGTACATTATCTCTGAAAAATGTAGATATCGTTTTTCGTTTCAGACATATATACGTCTTTTAAAATTTGTAGTGCATACTGGAGGGATTTACAGATTTTGGTAAAAAGTTCAGAAAAAAAAACGACCTCTATACTCCATATATTTATAAAAGAACTTTTTTATTTTAACCAACATTTCGCTTTTGCGGTTTCATATTCTAATATCAAACACCCCCCAGTGGCACAGCGGTATGTCTGCGGACTTACAACACTAGAATCCGAGTTTCGATACCCGTGGTTGGCAGAGCACAGATAGCCCATTGTGTAGCTTTGTGCTTAATTACAAACAAACAAACAAATTAATATCAAACAATTGTATGTACTATTCCTAATGAAGCCGCAAAGGCGAAACGTTGGTTAAAATAAAAAAAGTTATATTATAAATATCTGGAGTATAGAGGTCGTTTTCTTTTTAAACATTTTATCAAAATATATATACGTGATTGTCGATGGATTAGTGGAACAGATAAGTCATCCTGCAGGATGTAAGCTTTTGGGTTAAGTAAGTCCATGTTTTTATATATTAATTATCTGTGATCGGTTGTATTTATAATCTCTGCACTGTACAGACACTTTTATTTCTCATATTTACTGTATTTTTATTTAGTCTTTGTTTCACTAACGGAAAACCCAATTTAAAAACAAACAAAAGACCTTCATTCTTATACTAGGTGTTTTGACTAAATATGTTTGAATAAAAAATTTATTAGAGAAAAACTGACATTTTTAGTACACACAGCTTTACTTATTGATGTCACAGCTTCCAACTTGTGAAGATGTTGAAGGTGGAATACACGTAAAGATACCGTTTAGTTAGTAATAAACAGTTGTACCAGAAATACAATATATTGAAAGTACTTTAAAAAAACAAGCAGTGATGTGGATAGATTATGTTTATAATGTTGAGATATTGCGAAAACAAAACACAGTAAAACATACATATCGAATGTGTATGCTAACTTTTCAGTGAACTACAACAGCTTGTAATCCATGGGTTTCAGCCAGCCACAGTAGTTTGAATTTACTACTCACAAATTGTATCACAAACGTAACAGATGGTATTTCTAAACTGTATTCAAAACACTAGTTGTAATGATGTTACTGGAACACGTAATCACCAATTACCAAAACCAAATACCAAAGTAAGTTTTTGTGATGTAAGGTAGGACTGGCAATAACGAAGCTCTCTCACTCTAAGTAACAATTTCTTATTGGGCATTGGATAATAAAAACTCCACCCTTCAATTTTTATTTTTACAAATCAAATCAATGGCCTTAAGTCTATTTATCGGACAGCTACTAATGGTTTGGTGCCCTCTACAGTCAGAAATCATTATTAGAGATGTCTTCACCCTAACTCCAAAATAATTAAAAATTTGGCAAGTTTGTTGTAAAATATATTTTTTTTATCTTTAAAAAAGTAATTGATATTTCTTATCAAAATAAGTCACCAAGAAACCTTTTATTTCTCTGCTTTCTTTCATGTGCCTCGTGAAGAGACATTTTCAATGTTTTTTGTAAAGCACACCATTCACTTATTGCGTTTTTTGATAAACATTTTATTGACTATTAATAAACATATATCACAAAATGTTGCAAATAAAAATATCAATAATTAAAGCCGAATTTTAAGAGAAAAAAACGTGGCTCAATGTAAAGATTGAAAGCTAAGGTCCAAGTTTGGATCTTTGTGTTGGACACGGTGCAGAAAGCCCGTTGTGCAGTTATGCGCTTAAAAATAAAGAAACATTGCTCTAATGAAAGTTCCACTTTATATGTCAATATCAAAAAATAAAAAAGCAAAACTTTATTTAGCCATTGTATTTTTCACAGATCTAAAGTAAAAAGCTACTGACGTTGCAGTACACGTTCATTATTCGTCCAATCTAAAAAAAAAAAATCTTCAGTTGTTACATAATGGTTGTTTGTTTTGAAGTTAAGCACAAAGCTACACAATGGGCTATCTGTGTTCTACCCAACACGGGTATCGAAATCCGGATTCTGGCGTTCTAAGTCCACAGACATACCGCTGTGCCACTGGGGGGCTTTAAGTAGTTAAAACTGTTCAAAATATTAACACTTTCTTCGAACAAATATCCCGAACTTCTATTTCTAGTAATTATAATTCATACAGTTCCACACTACATTTGTTGTTTATATATTTTTTTGTATATTTAAATACATTATATATCATTATTATCACTTATGTGATACTTGTAATTCGACACGTGAACTGCTGAGAATAAACGTTACAGTTTGAATTTGTAATTACTGTTAATCATACATTGCCTAAATCACTTCGATAGAAAGCATTCTCTTGTGGTACGTGGACATACTCTTAAGTTTTCTAACCCTTTATTTAAATTTCAATATTATGTTGTTTTACACAGTTTCGCGATTGGACGCGAAGCGGCGCTTAAGTGCATTACTAACTTTCACTTCCATTAAGTGAGGATTAAAAGCCTCCTTATCTGATTCTCTCATAGAAATTATAACATATTTAATAAATGAGTGGAGCTATTTTTGTCGGCAAATCAGATAACAGTTGTGAATAGCATCGCCCGGGATTCTTACTACCCGTTGGCCAGCT